ATATACACTACCGGTCAAAAGTTTGGGATCAGTAAGACTTGGAATGTTTTTTAAAGAAGTCTCTCATGCTCATCTTTATTTGATTTATTTGATCAAAAATACAGAAAAAAAAACAGTAATCTTGCAAAATGTTATTACAATATATTTCTATTTTCTAACCAGGCATTGGATATTCATTCCCACAATGTAAGCGTTTACTTTCAAGTGTTTGCCTGGGAATTCCCTGTAAATCAGGCATAAATTCACAATAACTTTACAAAGCTGAAATTATCGATGTTGGCAACAGTTGTGCTGCCAAATATTTTTTTGGAAATTGATACTTTTTTCAGGATTCTTTGATGAATAAAAAGTTCAAAAGAACAGCATTTATTCAAAATATAAATCCTTTCTAACAATATAAATCTTTGCTATCACTTCTTATTAATTTAACACATCCTTGCTGAATAAGTGTTTTATTTTCTTTCAAAAAAATAAAGAATAAAAATTTACTGACCCCAAACTTTTTAACGGTAGAATATATTGTTAGAAAAGTTTGAAATATTAAATAAATGCTCTTCTTTTTAACTTTTTATTCATCAAAGAATCCTGAAAAAACTATCACAGGTTCCAAAAAAATATTAAGCAGCACAACAGTTTCCAGCTCTGATAATAAATCAGCATATTAGAATGATTTCTGAAGGATCATGTGACACTGAAGACTGGAGTAATGATGCTGAAAATTCAGCTTTGCATCACAGGAATAAATTAGATTTTAATGTATATTAAAATAGAAAAACGTTATTTTACATCGTAATAATATTTCACAATATTACATTTTTTCCTGTATTTTTGATCAAATAAATGCAGCCTTGATGAGCATAAGAAATTCCTTTAAAAAACATTTAAAATCATTCTGATCACAAACTTTTGAACGGTAGTGTATATATAATATTTTTTTTTGGCATTGCAATAACCTGCTGACTTATTGTTATGTCCTAAACACTGTCAATATTTTGAATATGGTGCTTTTGTATTTTGTATTTCTTTTTTAAAATGTAGAGAACAGGTCATGCAAGACTGCTGGTTGGTTCCCTACACATCTAGACCTACATTTACAGACATTGTCAAGATCCTGGAGAGTATGGTGGAGAGTGATGGGGTGAGTCATATTCATCCTTGATCTACTTTTTAAGCGTTACCTTTGTCCTATAGATAAGTGATAAAACATTAATATGTTGCAGGATTATGTGGAAGTTGACAAACAACGGATCATGAATGCAGAAGAAAAGTTAATTTAAAAAAATATAACTAGTTGTTCTATGCATCAAATCACTTTTTTTTTTTAATTCTATGAGAATTTTGTAGCAATTATTTTATCATTGTTCTCATGTAACTCCTAATTGTGTGCAGGCTTTCTTTCTTTTTTTTTTTTCTATCTATACATTTATTTATTTATTTATTTTATTTTAATGACAGTGGTGGCTAATGTCTAGTTGTGCAAAGATGAAATTGGCCGCTATAGGTACCTACAGCATTTTTGGGCATCAAACTGCAGCATCTATTTAAAAAAAACTTTAGTTGCTATGGTAATTTTAGTAAGGCTTGTGGTTCTGCTCCATGAGCCAATGTGCAATCAGGAACCCGCCCACTTCAGGAATCAACCAATGGAATGACAAAGATTAGAAACGACTGAATTGAAGGACCAATCAGAAATAGAGGAGTAACACGCTACTCCACACTGACCACTGACGCCGTCTACTACTGCTGACATATTGACAAAGGAACGCTAACCAAAATGTTTCTTCGGGCCTTAGAAATCATATATTTCTTTTACTTTTTGTCCCACATTCCAATCACTCTCATGGTTGATCTTCAACCTTTAATTCCTGAACATCTGTATCCATCCGAGGTAAGTTTGCACTTTGTGCTGCACACTCAATTGTGTTTGTCACTAATGGAGCCATATAATATCTAGGTTACATGTAACTCTTTCTCAGTAAATAAATATGAGTGCTTGCTTTACAGCTGAAAAACCTATTGCAGTGGTATGCTGCTGAATTCAAGGATCCGATGATGATGGACCCGCCTGTGTGGTTCAGATCTTTTGTATTCTGCGAGGCTCTCGTGCAGCTGCCCTTTTTCCCAATTGCTGCATACGCCTTCATGAAGGGTCAGTTGTGTTCACTAAAACGCGATAATGGGTGTTAATGATTTGTAGAATCCGTTTTAGATGGCACAACAGTGACATCTAGTGGTGAATCACTTGTGGCAGTGGAGACCGGTTACTATTGTCACATTAGTCCTGCTAATTGATGTATTTGTCTATTTAATAGGTGGCTGCAAATGGATCAGGACTCCAGCAATCATTTATTCTGTTCATGTGGCCACCACTCTAATCCCCATTTTAAGCCACGTCCTTTTTTATAACTTTCCACTGGCGCCACATCCGGGACCCCAAACTCTGAAAGAACGTCTGACCCTGGTGTCCATTTATGCTCCGTACCTCATCATCCCTGTCATGATACTGCTTACCATGCTCTTCAGCTCAACATACAACTCAGCCTCTCTGAAAGGAAACGCTTCCTCAAAGTCCAAGAAACAAAGATAGATGCAGTTCATCCCTTCCACACATTCCTCTTATGATGAGCGTATGTATTCATTATAGTTGTTGCTAGTAATTAAATGTGATTAAATATTTGAATATGTGCCAAGATATTTGAAAATTGTATGTAGCTTTTGCTCTATTTCAAGTTTAAGCAATTTTTTGACATCATATAATTGTTTATTGATGACAACACATGTAAATGCAAAATATATTTTTATTCAAATGTTCTTCAAATCTGTATGAAGTTTGTCGCATATTGAGGTTACACACTTGATCTAAACGGTAAATGTAAACAAACAATAAATGAATTTTGTTTTAAATAGTTTTCCCTGACTTCTACAGAAAATATTTTGGTTGTGGTCCCATGAGCAGACAATAAAAATGCCATGAACATATGAGAAAATAAAACCGGATGAGTTCCAGTCACAAACAGCAGTTAAAATACAAATCATACAGAAAAGAAACTATTTACCCGATGATGTCTCATGATGGAATTATTTACAGTAACATGCAAATACTGTATTTTCCTGCTGTAAAAAAAAAATCAGTTTTACAAACTAATTTCCATATAAATAGTATAAATAACTTCTTTTGTATATAAATAGTTTTCATCTGAGATTATGATCTATGGTTGGATAGGTTATGGTTAGCTTCCTTGAACTGGCCATGCAAATGCACTCTGTTAACAGAGTCAGAGGCGGAAACAGATGTCTGTTGTCACCTATTAACTGGTCGATTCAGTTAACCTAGTTAGGGACCCTGCACTTATTAGGAAGTCATTGTAAATCAAGATGCATAGCATCACTTTTTTTGTCCAAAAGAAAGAGGAAATAAAGCACTCTTATTTCTGCAGTATAAACTGATCAATGAATTCACTCTGCTCTGCTTCGACTTTTTGAAGAGCTTCATATTCTATTCGATACCTGCAAAACAAACAGTCAAGAATTAAAGGAATACTTCACCAAAAAAAAAACAATTTGCTGAAAATTTACTCACACTAAGGCCATCCGAAATGTAGAGGAGTTTATCAAAACAGATTTGGAAACATTTTACACTTCACTTGCGCAGCAGTGGATCCTCTGCAGTGAATGGGTGCCGTCAGAAACAGAGTACAAAGAGCTGATAAAAACATTACCATAATCCACACAACTCCAGTCTTACCAATTTGCTTATTACAAAAATTACAGCTGTTCACTTCACAACTCCATCAAGATATTTTTAAATTCAAATTATTGCTTCCAGCTAAAATACGAGTCCTCTATCCATAATATTTCTTGTCTAGAGATGTACACATATCAAGCGACGTTTACAAGGGGAAACAGTCCAAAACAAGGATTACTGTGATGTTTTTATCAACTGTTTGGACTCTCATTCTGACGGCACCCATTCACTGCAGAGGATCCGTTGGTGAGCAAGTGATGTAATTAAATTTCTCCAAAATCTGTTCTGATAAACAGGATGGGCTGTGGGTGAGTAAATTTTCAGCAAAATATAAATTTTTTGGGTGAACTTTTCCTTTAAGACCACAATATTTGCAGTCTGACTCTGATTACAGGCCTAATAAGATTGATTACCTTTCCAACTGCATTTTCTTTTCTACAATCAGAGCCTGAAGCTGTTGCTGCTGAGCCTCCCGTTGCTTTTCAACCGATTTCAGTAAATTTCTTGCACCTATGGCCTGTATAATAATAATATGTAAAAATAAGTCATATTAAATGTACATTACACAGATATGCACTGCTATTCATTTAAACATGCAAGAACATACCTTCATTTTTTCAGTTTCAGCTTCCTTTGCTAGCTCATCCACAAGTTCAATAAGTCCACCTACAATTTTTTGAAACTGACCTATCTCTGTTTAATAAAAAAAAATTCAATTAATTATTGATCTGTACTGTGAAAAGAAGCAAAGAAATGCTGTTCTGTCTGCACGAGAGATAAACTTCACAATAAAGATAAAGAACCAAATGAAAAACTCACCGTCAACAAAGTCCTCACATTCCTCTTTGAGCGCAATGGTTTTCTGGCTCACATCAGGCTCGAGTACTCGCAGTTTGTTGAGTTCATCAAAATGAAGACCAGCTTCGGCCAACGGGTCTTTAGCCATGACCAGAGGACCTAAAACTGCTTTTGGAACTCGATAATAGCTAAAAAAAATCACAAAAATACACAGACGAGCATCATTTCATTTCGTTAAAAGTGAGGAAAAACAAATACAGTGCCCATATGTCACCAGCTCACAATAAGCTAGCTTACCGATTAGCTAGTTAGCTGGTTAATTGGAACTACCACTCTTGTTACATTACATAAACCACGCAAACTTTGTTTAAATACACAGATGGAAGAAAAAAAATACTACAGTTCACAAATGTCGCTTTGTTGCTGGCAAGGTCTGGTTGCTATTGAGATAGATAAACAAAAACAGACCAGCTGGGAACTTTAGTATCTTGATAAACATTGTTGAAAAGAAAAATACATTCCACATAATTATCCCCTGAAATTATTAGACCGAATGAGACATTTAAATAAAGTAAAACAGCCAACAACTGATTTAAACCTGCCTGGCTTTGATTTGATTATGTGGCACTCCTGCTGGACTGACTGACTGACCGCCTCCTCGCATCTGTCTGACGGTCTCGGCTGCCAGGAGACGGCGATCCACCTCATGATGAGAGAGGGGTGTACAACAGCATTTTGATTATTTATTTGTGACATCTTACATTTTTGAAAATGAAAGAAAGCATGATTATATATATTACACATATAAATAATTATTTATAATTGTAATGATGAGAGATCGCGGTAAAAAGTGTATTTACGCCTAATATTTCACACCACACTCCCCCTCCTGATATTGTAAACGCCCGTATATGAACTCTTCCTGCAGTTCCACATCTGACCAGTGCGGTGTGTGCGAGGGATCGGATGAAATAATAAACTGTCAAAAACACCAGAAGAAGAGTAAGCTGGACCACTTAAGGGCGCCAAACTCTAAAAATATGTAAATCTTTATACTTCATATCTCTATACTCGTTAGGTTTAACATATACAAACCATATGCTGTTTATGTTTAATGTTCGCTTTTTACCTCCTGATTGAGAGCTTGACCATCTCTGTGGGTAAGTTAACCGGTAAAACTTACAGTCATAATAATGTCACCATCATTTGTAAACAAGCTAACGTTAGTTGCAGCTGATTAGCAACGCAGTAGTTGCCTGTTTAGCCTGACATGAAATAATAACCAGAAAAAAATATATTTTTAAATGGAACAGTTGCTTTATATGGCCAAGATGAAATTCTGATATACTGTAATGTAAATCAATTACATTTTAATAATAAACATAAAATGCATCTAAATATCGGCTGTCAATTTAACTTATATCTCCCAATAATTTGTCTTAGTAAGATAATATTTAGATGTTTAGTGTTATTATCAAAGCTCTAGTTTTTATAGTGGGGATGCAAAACATAATGCAATGCAATATAATTTTTTTTTTGTTTGCTATTACACTAAGGCCTCTTACATACTAAAATGTATGAACTATCAATCAGATAACAGAAGGCACCTGTACAGCAAGTTTTTTTTTTCTTTAAAGTTTTGATCATGTTGATCATTTAGAGGCTATTGAAATTCATGTATCAAATATGAGACTGTTGGCTTTATAAGTGAAAATGTCATTTCAGATGCTGACAACTCAGAACCATGCCTCTGTCAACTCAGTCCCAAGCAGACATTGACCAGTACATTCTGATAGCCAGTTTGGATAACGCAAGGAATCTGTCCAACATCCTGAAAGCCATCTCTTTCAGGGACCATGCTATCTTCAATGCAACACAGAATGGGTTAAAAGTCACTGTTGAGGACTCCAAATGCCTTCAAGCCAATGCATTCATTCAGGTTGGTGTTGGAGGACAGTGTCTTACGAGTTCAGTTGGTTGACAGCAGTTGGATTAATCAGTTTATTTGTGTGTCTGATTCCTCAGGCTGACATCTTTCAAGAGTACATAATCAAAGAGGACGCGGTTGGCTTTCAGGTTAATTTAACTGTTCTTCTGGACTGCCTCACCATCTTTGGGGGAAGCACAGTCCCAGGTGTGTATCACAATGATGATCCAGTCATTTTTTTGGGAAAATGAATAAAAAAACAAATTCCTGTCTTTTATTTTACCCTTAAGGTGTGTGCACCGCCTTGAGAATGTGCTACAATGGCTACGGATATCCGCTGACTTTGTTCCTGGAGGAAGGTGGTGTGGTCACCGTATGCAAGATTAATACACAGGAGTCGGAGGAGCCCATAGACTTTGACTTTTGCAGCACAAATGTAACCAACAAGGTGATTCTGCAGTCAGACAGTCTTAAAGAGGCTTTCTCTGAGCTTGACATGACCAGTGAAGTTCTGCAGATTACTATGTCACCAAGCCATCCTTACTTCAGGTACAGTAACAGTGCACACAACAGATCATCATGTATTGTCAAGTTAAATTTAATGTCAATAGATATTCATTATTTTCCTTTTCATTTTAGATTATCCACATTTGGGAATTCTGGAAACGCTCATTATGATTACCCCAAAGACTCAGACATGATGGAGCTGTTCCAGTGTACTAAAATACAGACCAACAGGTAGGAGGAGCTTCTGTTTTTGACTGCATTTCCCATCAATCAGAGCTCTGTATGACTTCACAAAACAACAGCCTTATAAACTGCTTCTAGTTGTACCTCTGAGGCATTCACATGTAAGTGGTAAAAGAACAATATAGAGTCGCTGAGATTCTCTTCTTTATTTTCAAAGGTATAAGATGTCCCTGTTGAAACCCTCTACAAAGGCCTTGGCTCTGTCCTGTAAAGTCTCGGTGAGAACTGACAGTCGAGGCTTCCTCTCTCTACAGTACCTTGTGAGGAATGATGACGGTCAGATTTGTTTTGTGGAATATTATTGCTGTCCGGATGAAGAAGTGGAAGAAGAATAGATTGGAAAGAGCAATTGTTTTTGTTTTGTTTGACATTTAGTGTGCACTGACCTGCTGGTTCCTTTATCTGATTCTGATTTTAATATATATGAATATTTCATGAACCACAAATATTTGAAGAGTTCAGATGCGAAAGCCTCTAAGTGCCATCTGAAATTTTCTTCTAAAATTTGCATTTTTATCAGGCTCCTATGTTTAGGTTCAGTAATTTTACTTTAATGGCAATGTATAGGTCCTTTTCTATGCCATTAAAGTGAAATAACTGAACATAAATATAGGAGCCTGATAAAAATGCTCATTTTAGATAAACATTTCAGACGGCACGTAGAGGCTTTTCCATCTGAAGTCTTCATTTGTAGAGTTTATTAGAAGTTTATAATAGTTAAAAAAACTGGGTTTTGTATTGAATTTGAGACAATACTCTGTGTGATCGGCAGGGGGCGGCAGAGAAATGCTAATTAGGCGACTGCATATAATATTATTAAGAGCGCGATATTGGTTTAATATGTTAAAGATACACAGGTTAGTTTACGCCTTTATGCTTTTCTATTTAATATACGACTAAAAGACAAATATATATATATATATATATATATAGACAAATATAATGTCCCCAAACAATTTTTTAACGACGTAGGTCTGTAATAACGTATGTCGTAAGTCGGTTTATAACAACACTCGTAATATTTACATTGTTCTACAGTTAAAGCTGTTGTCTGAAACATCTAAATGTTTAACGCGTGTTCTTTTTATTACACGAATGCGTTGCGAGGCAAACATGTAGTTGAGCAAAGCAGCTTGATGTTTATGCTGCTTGACGCACGCACTTCTAGAAGAAAGTCCCAGAACAGCGCGCGATGCTTGAACTGCCGCCTCGCGACCAATCGCTTCTCCACTCGCGGCTGTCGAGGCAACACTGTTTCCGGGCAGAGGAACATTACAGGAGCAAAACAAGCGCACTTCTGTCACTCTCTCATCTCAGCGGGTTACCACTGCCACATGCAAGCTGCTTATAGAGGCTGCAGCAAAGCCCGCTGAAAACAACCAAAGTTCTCATTAAATGGCATTAAACATATTTTGGACAAATTGTAGAAAGCTTTGGTCTAATTTGAATAGTATTTCCCTTATAACTGAGAATGAAGATTGTTTGAATCCTTAGTTGGTACCTAGTTTGTTCTGAACAAGGGGGCTAAAAGGCTCATTTAAATATTTTGTTACTTTTATTGAATTCATACAGCAACTTAGTTTTGAGTGAAAATAGTTAAAAAATAAAATATAAAGGCAGCAGGTCTCTGCAGTCTCTGAGTGTGTGTATTATTCTGCATGTAGTCAATGAACAGTGTACATCTTTGGAGCTAAATTATCACTGAAAAGATCAGTAAGATTCTTAAAAAAATAAAAGTAATTAATACTTTTATTCAGCAAGGATGCATTAAATTGATCAAAAGTGACAGTAAAGACATTTATACTGTGACTTCTATTCCAAATAAAATGTTAACTGCTTTGCTTTAAATGTTTTACAATATATTAAAATAGAGAACTGAAAATTTATAAACAGAAAGATAGAACATTTTATTTTATATAAATTTCACTTTATCACAGTTTTTACTGACTTATTTAAAAAAACTGTACATTGTTAGTTATTATTATATATTGGAGCAGCTAATGTAGGTTAATTTTTCACATCCTATGCAACAAACCCATTCTTTCCTACTTACAGAAGACAATTTATTGCCGTTCAGGCATTCTGCAGTTCTCCGTCTGTCAACCTAACACTGTTGTGACATTTTTGCCTGCAACAACATGGTGGCAGTTAGTGAAAATTCATGTAATTGTCTTGAACAAAGCTAAAAATCTTAGGTCTTTTAATTCTCAAATTATTTGATAGTTTCAGAGATTTTCATTCAGCAGATATAAACTATAAAACTATAAAGATCCCTCACAAAATCACTTAATTTATGCACACAAACTGACCGAACAGACAGCATCCAACAACATTCAGCGTAACCAAGTAAACACTGTCCACAGACCAAGACCAGTGGATCATTTGATAAGGGAGAGCAACTTGATCCAGCTGGAGCTACATCACTCACATCAGGTGATATCAGAGGGATGGCATCACTTTTTGCACTTTAAACACAAGCTTGCTTGATGATGAAGTGGGTGATCCTCTGCCCGTTCCTCAGATAAACAAGCTAGCGCTGACCCGCTGTCTGATGTCTTGACCTACCAGTGAATCAAGGGGTGTCAGGTTCTGGGTTTTGTAAACACAAACTTAGCAATGACCTAACTGTTGTGACACTCCAACAATTGGCAACAAGAGAGCCCATGGGAGATGAAGAGAAGGTGCGCAGCTTTCAGCACGGCCTCACAAGGGACAGTGAGTCATCATATCGTCGGTTACATTAAGTGACGGAGGTTATATAAATTACAAGAAGAAATGTAACCTTTAATACTGTTAATGAAGCTTAATGGTTTTAAATACTTTTAATGGTCAAAAGACTGGAGTAATTATGATTTTTTTTTCATGTTTTTTAAAGACGTCTCTTATGCTCACCAAGGCTGCATTTATTTAATGAAAAATACAGTTTAAAAAAACAGTAACATTGTGAAATATTATTCCAATTTTAAACAACAGTTTTCTTTCTGTATATATATTTCAAAATGTATTTTATTCATTTGTCACATGATCCTTTAGAAAGCCTAATAATATGATTATTTGGTGCTGAAATATTATCAATTATTATTAATAATGATTTTTATTATCAATAGTGAAAACCATTTTCTAATCCTCCTTACCCCAAAACTTTGAATGGTAGTATATTTTGGTTTGAGCAGCAAAACTCTTGAGCACCAAATCAGCAGATTTCTGAAGGATCATGTGACACTTAAGACTGGAGTAACGGCTGCTGAAAATTCAGCTTTGTCATCACAGGACTAAATGACATTTTTAATATATTAAAACAGTTGTTTTAAATTGTAATATTATTTCATAATATTACTGTTTTTACAGTAAATAAATGCAGCATTGGTGAGCATAAGAAGCTTGAAACTAATTATACTCTGTTAATGGATAATGGAAAAGCTTGATTTTATCAACATCTAATATGTGATGTCTGACTTTCCACAAAACAAATGACCGTGAAATTGATATGCCAACAAATGTGCCGTACCAACTCCCGCCTAGTCAGCTGAAAGGAACCCAGCAATGGGAAACTCCACAGTGCATAAACATGATTTGAGTATAACATTCCTTCACTTTGTGGTAAAAATATACCCTACATCAACAAGCCATTGTTTGGGGACTTTGGGTGTCACATGGGGTCATGGTAGCAACACCTGGCCTTAACAGCCCTTGACAATCCACCCCCAAACCCATCAATACTGCTTTCCCTCTGCCTCGGCTTGCAACCATGTGTGAAATGACCCTTGATGATGGAGATGAGGTAATGCCTTCAGCAGCTCTGACATCACTATAGCCTTTCCCATCCAGAGCAATTGACCATCACTTCCACAATGAGCTTTTTGTCTTACACTACCTTTCTTTGAGGAAAAAGCAATGAATGTGACACCTGTGAATGTATGTAAGATGTTGAAATTGCCATTTTATCCACTAACAGATGATAATTAGTTATATTTACCCAAAAGAAGTCTAAAATCATTAAGTTTCATTAACACACACACACACATAGATAGACGGATAGTTTGACCCATACAATGTATTTTTGGCTATTGCTAGAAATATACCCCTGCGACTTAAGACTGGTTTTGTGGTCCAGGGTCACATATATATATATATGTGTGTATATACATTTATGTATATATAAATGAAATAGACATTTAAATATAATGTATGTATATATATATATATATATACAGTATATATATATTACATTTTAAAATGTTTGTATTTTTAAATCATATATTTTTTAATAATATGCAATATATTTTAAAGAATGTATTGAAAAGTATGTATTTTTTATATTTTAAACATTTTATAGAGCTCAATTAAATATGACATCATCTAATGGGTGATATGAATAATAATAATACACAATTAATACACAATTCCTCTGGTTAATGTGAAATAGACACACTATAATCAGAGGCATCCGGAAGCACAAATAACAGCAGCTTAATGTGGTTACAAGTGAAACATTTTCACAGTGGTGCACAAAACATGGTGTTCTCTGTTAGTTCCTTTCCTTTCTTACTCTCCTTTATGTGTAAACACTCATAACTGGGACTGAACTGGGTTTCAATTGAATGTTCTCTCACTTCTGTTTCTTTATTGAGAATGTTTATATAAAAACATAAACAAACTTACGTGAATGTTTTTGCTTGATTTGCAATCGTTGTTGCTGTCAGAACAGGTGATTTGGATCCTTATGACTTTCATGTTACGTAATCAATCACAAACGAGTCATTTTCAATCATGACTAAAATAATAATCAGGAAGTATGCATATGTTTCCCCTGCTCTTTCCCTTGAAATGAAATGTGACATGAAAATGAACCTTTCTGCCACAATCATGAAACGTGATTCACAAAATAACACAATACAATCGATGACCACATTTCAAATGGGAACTAAATGTAACCCCAGTCTTGTTGTTTGTCAGCCTTCTGGACTTGCAGATCATTTTCTGGGATCTGTCACTCACCACCCTTCCATTACCTTGAAGGGTGGCAGCTGCAGCCCTGCGCCACCAACAGGGACTGTTTATCAGGTGACAACAATGAAAACTAATATGTGAAAAATATGTGGACGAGCAGTGCCTGAGACAGGTTTATCAGATATCATGAATACAGTGGAGAATGAAGGAAGGAGGAGGATGATGTCACCGGGACACAGTATACTTGAGCCTCACTCTCGTGTCATCACACTCACACACACGTGGATGTTGTGTTGTGGTAACGAATGTAGCCGTTGCAGTCACACAGAAACATACGCATGGATCCCTTCGCTCACAATCTAGGCAATCTATATCTCTAGGTAGTGAACTTTGGTAGACGGTATGTGGCCGCTGGAGCAAAGGGAAAAGTTAAGATACTGCCTTTTGTGTTATTGTGCTAAAATGTCACCACAGATGAGATGGGAACAAACATGTTACTTGTTTGACCATTGAGCTTTGTATCAGTTGTTCATTTTTATGTCAGTGAGTACTGTACGTACTCAGTGGCCGGACCTCAGGCTAAAAAAAACATAAGTAAAAACGCTATACCATGCATATTCCACAATACTATTAATAATAATAATTTTACATTTTATGTAAAAATTGTATATACATTAACACTCACATATATATACATATATACTATTGCTAATAATAAAATATTATTATATAATAATAATAACGCTATTATAATTTTAATTAATATTAATTCTAATGTTAATAAAACATTTTTGCAGTACTGTTTTTATATAGAATAATATATAAAAAATAAAAGAATATTTTTAATACTAAATTCTTTTATATTTATATACATTTTATTTTATCTTTATATTTATGTATATAGTATATACAGTATAAATATATACTATTGCTAATACTATAATAATATATAATAATACTGTAATTTTAATATTAATGGAAAATATATATTCTATATATATTCATATATTCTTTATTATTATTATATAATAAATGTATTATAATATTAATATAATATTATTATCACAGTAGTCTATTTTTATTTATAATATATAATTTATGTAATATATACACAATTAAAAATAAATTTTTAACACTAGTAAATTATATACAAATGTCATCTATTGTCTATTTGTTATATATTTGTTGTATATTATTATTTCCTATTTACTTATTCTATTTTTATTATCTGTATCTTGTCACTGTAATCTGATTGTGCTGTGGAAGCTTCTGTCACCAAAACAAATTATGTGTAAACACCTGACAATAAAACTCTTTCTGGTTCTTAATTAATGCAAAGAATGCTTTGCTAAATAAAATTATTAATAAAAGTAGTAACGTTTTAATTCCAACTTATATTTATTTATATTAATTTTTATAAAAGTTGGAATCTCAACTTTTATAAATGAAGGAATTTCATGGCAACACCCCTATGTATGCATTTAACACTAAGACGAGAAGACACGACATTTGCCGTCCCAGAGCAGTCTGCGTGGGGCTGTATGCCCAGACATGTAGGCCTACCTGCGTGGGGATTCCCCTCCAAGCTGTGGCAGTGCCTCATCTGCTGTGGGGTAACAGGCCTCCATATCTCTGCAGCTAAAGCCCTCCTCCATCATGTGCATGGCATCTGCATTTAAACAAAGGGTGCAGTAGGAAGCTGCTGGACAAAGGTCAAAGGGGATGAAATGGGAATTCCGTATTCAATTTGCATAATGAAATCGACTATTAGCCTAGCTCAAGTTTGTTATGAGCGTTGCACATCAATGATCAGCGACTGTTTGATGTTAAAGAGCATGTAACATCTCTAACATCAAAGAGTGTTAGTTTTATTTCTCTTTAGTATTATAAGTCTTTATATTTATGATTTTTTTATGTTTATGTTATGTTTTATTACAGTTTAGTGAATGTCAAACGATTAAACATGCTTTTTAAATTAGCATATTAACCCTCTAGTGCATGACTTAGGGGAACGGGAAACAGTATGTCACAAAGGGGAAAAAGTTTTTCTTGAAAAAAATAATTTTGATGGGGAGCATTTTTAGCTAGAAAATAAATTATATATATCAACAATCTACAGTGGGCGTAAAGGGCTGTTGGTTCCTGTGCTGTCTTCTTGGCTGCTCTGTGTGTGTGTGTGTGTGTGTGTGTGTGTGTGTGTGTCTCCACTCTGCCTCTCACTACGCCCCTCGATGACGAGCATGTCAGGACTTGTTGTGAGACAGAAGGGGTGTGGCCTTATGCGAGCACTTCGCGGGAGTGAAAGCAACTTGCTGTCATCATAACCCAACAGCTTCATCTTCACAAGCACACAACTAACTGCTTATCTAAAACATTGACACCGTCTGTCTTTCCTCCAGTTGTGGAATAACATGAACGGATATCTAACGAAGTGTTTTTAAAGCACGACACATATCTGGTGTCAGAGCATTACAACCCTGGAATAACAACTTCTGACTTACAACACATTTCGAAGGTAAGCATAAATGTGTTTTTATTCTTGTTGAGCATGCATCTCTTTGTTGTTTGCAGGCATCGATGTAAGATTACTTATATTAAAGACAGTAGTTGTGGCACATTACTGCTTATTTTTTTTAATCAAAAATATCATTAGAAATGACAGAATCAGCCAAGCTGCATTAGGTTGCACGAATAAAAGTCATTTTAAGGGTTAGATCAGGTAGAAATATGTTGTTTAGTTAACGAGTTTTTACAGTCTGTG